TACTCATCTCCAGTTAGGCTGCTGAAATTGGCAAAAAGGGTCATATCCGTACCTCTAGCCACGATCTTTAATCAGTCTATTTGCTCAGGGATTTTTCCATCTAAACTAAAGTGGCTAAGATTATCCCGATATTTCAGGACCAAGATGACACTCTGCCCGAAAATTTCCGACCTATTTCTCTGCTCTCGATTTATAACAGGATTTTTGAAAAACTTATGTACTCCAGAGTTACCAAGTTTGTCAAAGATTGCAAGATTCTCTATGATCAACAATACGGTTTTCGCAGTGAGCACAGTACTCAGCATGCTATACTTGATATTGTTAACACAATTCTCCAAAATATGGACAACGGTAAATTTTCGTGCGGTGTTTTCATCGATCTCAAGAAGGCTTTTGATACTGTTAACCATGAGATTTTGCTAGCTAAACTTGAAAATTATCGTATTAGAGGTGTAATCAACTCCTGGTTCAAATCATACCTGACTGATCGAAAGCAAACTACGGAAGTTAATAATGTTGTGTCTGAGGCTGAGACGACCTTGTGCGGCGTGCCACAAGGCGCAGTCCTCGGACCACTCTTATTCCTACTGTACATCAATGATATTTGCAAGTCTTCTTCGTTATTTGCCTCTTATCTTTTTGCTGACGATACTAGTATAATACTTGCAACTAACAACTTAAAGGAACTCGAAACACCTGTTAATCGCGAGCTTGGCAACGTCAACGAATGGCTAAAGGCCAACAAACTGTCTTTGAACATAAAAAGATCAAACTTTGTAATCTTTAGTCCCCGGCAAAAGAATATGCCCTTCATACCTAGGATTAGAATTCTTGACTCCGTGACTAACACCTACGCAAACCTTGAAATGAAAGATGATGTAAAATATCTTGGCTTAATGATTGATTCAAATCTTTCATGGAAATACCACATCGAATCTATCTGTCACAAAATCAGCAAGTCAATAGGAATTATAGCTAAGATTCGACATTATGTCCCGTATCGTGTTTTACTTTCAGTTTACAACTCATTAATTGTCCTTTACATGACTTATGGTATTTGTAGTTGGGGAAACTGTGCCTTGACATTTCAAAGAAAGATCTTAACTCTTCAAAAACGGGCCTTACGTCTCATTTACTTCAGTAAGTCTAAGGAACACACCGCATCCTTCTTTCTCAAATCAAATTGCCTTCCCCTGCCTAGCCTATTTTTCAGAGATTGTAGCTATTTATTGTATGATATCAACAGACAGACAGCACCAGTTAGTATACTCAATCAGTTCGTTAAAACAAGTCAGTTTCATAACTACAGAACACGATCTGTCTCTAGCGACTCGTTTTATGTTAAGTTCTCTAGAACCGACAAAATGTATGCCTTTTTCACGAGAATCTATGCCCAAACTTGGAACTCTATTCCTTATTCGATTAAAATACTTAAACGTTCGTCCTTTCGCAAAAAAATAAAGCAATTATTACTAAAATTCTTGTGGTCAGAAGATGATTATGTCGAAGTCTCCCGTCTTATTAAGTTATTTAATACTTTAGGTTAGTCTCTCTTCATAATCGTTATGAACTTGCCTTGTTTTATGTTAGTTTAAATCCTATTTACTGTATAGTAGTGTCTTCACTGTTATTTAGTCCATCTATATATAAATCTTGTTTCGTAATTCTTCTTCAGCTACCCCCGCCTCGATTAGTTTATAAGCTATTTGCGGGTGGGAAAGTAATGTAATTACCGGGGCCTAGCCGAAGGCTTGCACCGGTCATAAAATGCAACGCGTTTCTGTGTTTTCAAAGTTACATTGTTAAGGATATATCGCTGACTGAGATATAACGCTGGCTCGTTACTTTTGGGAGTGTTCGCTGAGATATATCGCTGGTTCAGAAATTTGAAGTAGGGAGCAACAACTGTAACCATGTAAATATTACATAAAATTCGATTAGTTTGCACACGGAATGGTTTAATGCGACTATATTTACCACTTATCAATAAATTAGATCCCTGTCTATTGCAAAATATTGTTGCAGTATATATCCTAGCGATGACAAAGCTTGGTCGACGTAGAACTGTGTACACTACGACAAAACAAAAATCTTAACTTATCATTGCATGCGCCAAGCTTTGTTTGTGCGTTTCAATACCTTACAATTAGCACTCCCTAGAGGAAACTTCGTCAAATATTTTCCGACAGACAATTAAAACTCATTAGGAGGAAGTCTATCACTGCTTTGACTTATGAAGCAACAAAACAAAACATTTTCAAATAACCTTTGTCACGCAATATTTACGTTAGCGAGATGCGCAAATTCTCAACTGTTCAAAATGCGGGATTCCCTAACATTTTGTCTTTTCACATTATTCATTAGACGTTGATGTAGAATTTTTATGTTTTTCTCCTTGGTATTCTTAGCTACTTTGGATCCTTGTTGCTAAGAAATATCTTATTATTATGTAATCGATCTGAACACGTGAGAAAAACAGCGTAACTTGACAGCCTAGGATTGGGAGTTGACTCATGTTAATATTGAACCCTCATCTATTGTTCTGGAGTTTTAATTACATGTGACCTTTGCTGCAACGCAGTCATTCGTTCTAACACACTCGCCATGCGAACAAATTACTTTTTCCCTCCTCCTCCCCTTGCCCTTTCCTCTTTCCTTATTTCCATTAAACCATTGCTAGGGCGTTTTTTTGCCCATACCTTTACTGGACATAATTGTTTACCTTTGTGATTTAGAAGTATATTGAAATAATTCAAAGAAAATTAATTATTCATTAAATAGGCTTAGGGCCAAATATTAATTCGATTAGTTTTGGAACGGAATGGTTAATGCGACTATCTTTGCTACTTATCAATAAATGAGATCTCCGTGTATTGAAAAATATTGTTACAGTATTCATCCTAACGATGACAAAGCTTAGTCGCTGTTGAACTGTGTACACTACGACAAAACAAGAATCTTAACTTATTAAACTTGCATGCGCGAAACTTTGTTTGTGCGTTTCAATACCTTACAATTCGCACTCGCTACAGGAAACTTCGTCAAATATTGGCCGACAAATAATTTTAAAGACTCATTACAAGAACGTCTATCACTGCTTTAACTAACGAAAAACCAAAAAAGACTGTTTCACATAACCTTTGTCCCGCAATATTTACGTTAGCGACATGCGAAAACTCTCAACTGTTCAAAATGGGGGATTCCCTAACATTTTCTATAAAATTTTCTATCAAAAAGATTTTCATGTCGCCCGACAAACTTGTTGATGAAAACGACCCTTCCTCGTGGGTTGCCAAGACAAAAGTGGCCCCGGTAAAATTCACGAAGTGATTCTTGTTAGTTATTTTTCAGTTTTCAATAAAATTTGTTGTTGTTCAGTTGTTGCTGTTGTCGTTGTTGTTGTTGTTGTCGAGTGGCTCTGGGGACGAGAATCGCATGTTACTATGTCTTACAAGTCTTAATCTTGAATACAGTATTCACGGTAAAGAACTGGGCTCGATTTTGTTACGTCACCGGATAAGAAAAAATATCCGGATTTAGCGTCCACACGATTCCGGATTCCGAGCGTATTCAAAAATTTCGACTCCGGAGAGCGGATTCAAAAGTTGCAAAATGGTATGCCGAATTCACGGATGCGTGTGGGTGGAAGCCATATCCGGAAAGGATTCAAAAATAGCCAGATACGTGTGGACGGGGCCTCAGTGCTTCGCGAAGTAAGAGTGTAAGTAAGAGTGGCCGCCATCTTGGATTTTATCAAGAATTAAAAATCATGTTAAAATCGTGAGAAATAGTTCTTTTGGGGGGCTTTGCATGGAAAATAACACATGAATAAGCAAATTGCAGTATTTGTATTATATGTATTTTCACCCAAAAATGGCTTGACCACCTGCTATTTATGACGTCATATCTCGTAACCATAGCAACTGACCATCAATAAGCCTGTCTCTCTTGTCTTGTGTTGCTTCTATATATTAGAAGCTTCGCTTCTATATATTAGAAATGTTAATATATACATCACCATTTAGCCTGCAAACGCAGACGTATTTCAAAGTTGGAAATGAAAACAAATATATAATTAAGTAAATAATTATTTAAAACTCAAATTTCACAATGGTCGGAGGAGTAGTTTACATTCCAAATGAAGCAGGACATTAAAATATCTTAATTAGAGAAAAAGTTTCTTTAAATTTTTGCCATTGTAAAGGAATTTTTGACGTTTCTAGAAAGTATGACGTCATAACTCACACCTGTCATTAGCAACAACATTAAAGATTTGAAGCGGTGTTCAAAACGTTACAGACATTTTTGCTACACAAACGAAAACCCCATCTCAATCGGGTAAAATGGCGTGAAGTTACAGCTAATAAAAGAATATCAAATTTACCGCCAAATGACTATACATGGTCAAAACTAGAGGTATTTTAAACACGAGAAAATCGTCTGTATTGGCACAGGAGCTAGAACAAAGTTACATAAAATCAAAATTGCAGTTTTTTCTACTTAGTGTATGTGGTGCTATGATGCGCTTTTCGTCGCGAAATACGTCATTGTGACGTCATAATGACGATTGAGATGGGGTCTGCACTATAAATCATAGAAATCATAGAATTCTATACAGAAAACTAATATAAAATTATGACCATTTCTTTCCCAAAGTTTTATTCTGATGCCAAATTTGGACATATTTATGACGTCACAATAGCAGTAACATGGAATGGAAAAAAAAAACAAAACAAAACAATTAACAGGAAGTTTATCAACCTTCGTCCCTACCGAGTTTCGTCACATTCCATGCTTTCTACTTCTGTCTATGCCCTACGACTCTCGGTTTTAAGAGGTATGGGAGGAAACGCCCTAGCAAACGACCACCGTGTTTCAGTCGGTTTAATGAATAACGATAAATAATTTCTCGAAGGTTTCCTTAAGTTGGAACTCGGAAAAAGGGATTTTGTGTTTCTACACACATTACGAGCATTGTTTTAGTTGTGAAATAATAGCTATCACTTTTCGCAAATAAATCCTTTCGTGTTCTGGCATGAGTTATCGTGCCACTCTGCGTCATACTCCTTGTTATGATGAATTCCCATTCGTATTCCTGCGCAGTCCTGCCCACCGGCATCATTTGGTTGGTCACTTCTCCAGTTGTTATAACTAGTCAATCCAGTTCCGTCAACCCATGTCCATACACCTTCATGATCGGCATCAGACAGTCCAATCCAGTAATCCACTTGGGCTGTTAGATATGTAGCTGAAATGAAATTATTTTCGTCATGAGATTCAATCTTCACCAGACTGGCGCCATGATTGTCACAGGTAGCTTTGGCCTCGTTCCAATTTTTGACTGATGTGAATAATTTGTAGCACTTTTCTCCGTGTCTGTTCCAATCTGAGTCGCAAACTGAAGATTAAGATTAAAAACGGTCAAGTTAGTTATGAATTAATTGTCGTGAGAATGAGAATAAAAATGGGAGTGGGAATGCGAACGAGCATGAGAATGAGAATGAGATAAGTACAATAAGTTAAAAAAGACTGTAGTTATAAGGAACGATGAGTTTAAATTCCATTGATGGTGTAAAAACCGTGTCTTTATCTTGTGTATGTCAAGCCTAAGATCATGCTTTCAATGAAGCCTTCATCGTGCGTAACAGGTCGTGCTTTTATCGAGGCTGGGTTCACAGCTTTCTTGTGAGTGGTCGGAGCCTCGGATGGAAGTTAAATCTATTCGAAGCGATTCCATGCTCGTTTTTCAAAGATTTTTGTGCGATGTGATGTATTCACACAGCAGGTCTATGGATGCTTGTCCATGAGACTGGGAAAGGACAGCCGTTTCACGGGAATTATTCGACATTAGATTCTCATACAAACACTGTAATTTCTCACACGTTTGCCTACACGTCAAAATGGCGTCTAAAACCGTGACAAGGTCTATTCAACCTTGTTTTTTTCACGGCGGATCAGAGCGCTTGGCGTGTTTTGAACTAACCGACGCAGTGAGTTTTCTGAAGAAACTGGAGGTTCATTCTGTATTCTATGGTCAAGGGAAGTACGTTTTTAAAAAGGGAATTTGTTTACTTATGAAAGGTTCATGCCCGATAAGATTTCTATACATTTTGACATCAGCGAGGAAGAAAAACCACAAAATGTACATTTGAAATTGTTTTTTTGCCTCAGCCTATTTAACTTGCGTGAACGGATCCAGGATCCAGTTAGTGTTATACGAGAATTGCGTTTTAGGATTAACGGATAGGTTTTTGAATAAAAATTTTCAAGAAATTAAGTTTAATTATCTGTAATTGTTCATTCATAACATTAGCTCAAAACACGATCGTGAGACTATGGATCGTAAGATTTTTAGAAACACTTCACAATTAAAACTTAAGAGTTGTTTGTACAAGTTCCATTGAACTGCTATTCTTTTTCGTATTCATCACTTGCCATTCAAGAATTTTGCAGTGTGCTGCTCTTTTTCCATAACTTCTGCCCTGAATAGAGCTAAAACCGCATATGATTGAAGTTTGTTTTCAGTTGTTTGTTTACGGCCTTATAGTCCCGCTGAAAAAGTGACCTTGTCTAAAATATGAAAGAGTTCTCCTCTATTCTAAAGACAGACTCGTTGGATTTTCGAGCCCGAGTTTGTCGTTATTATTTTTATTTAAAAAAAGTCGTAAGTTGCTGTATCATTAGCATCTATAATTTGTAGTGAAATTAACTATGTCTATCGTACATTTCTCAGCAATGCACTTCACAACACCTGAACTAGACTTGCTACAAGTCGACCTCTTGGCGAGCGGAGCGAGCCTTGTTTGGCCGCGAAGCGGCCGACCGCGAGCGACGAAGTCGCTCACCATATGAAATCTGCAGAAGGACTTTTTTGAAAGTTTACACCTGAACACAAACCGCACAGTTTCAGTAGGTTAGAGATTGAATTATAGGGTAGTTATGAGTACCGAAAAAGGTTATCGATTGATTTCTTTTTATATGTCTGCCCTCAAAGAAATATACACCTTGCGGGTAAAACTTTCTATCGGATATTGTAAGGCTGTATAAATGTAAAGGCTACACATTGATAATTGTTCGTCCGAGCCTAATCAAAACAAAGAAGAACAAGAACGAGAACGAGAACGAGAACGAGAACAAGAACAAGAAGAAGAAGAAGAAGAAGAAGAAGAAGAAGAAAATAAAATATAATGAGCTTACGGGAACATAAGGGCCGAATTTTTCTTTTAGGTCTTCACTTTAAGACAGAAATGCTGACTCTAGAAATCGTAACCTGTAAAATGTTGCTAGTTAAAAGAGACATGCAATTTAATAATTTTTCTCAATTCAGGTTTGTTTGCGGGTTTTTTTTTTCTCAATCATTTAGCCCCTCCCTCTAAAGGTGAACTGATGCTGAAGGCTCCTTATTTTATATTCATTTGTTTATTTATTTGCCTTTTTTTTGGCTTACAGTTCATGCTATTAGTTTAAATTTGATTGCTTTTATCAAAAGTATAGAAACGAAGGCTTCGCTTTTAGCCCTTTCTGGCCAATTTCTCTGTAGCAGCAACGCAAACGACACTATTAATGGAGGTTAATTCTAAAGTAGGTTGAGTTTGATCGTCCGGGTGACAGTGACTGACGTTGTACGTACAAAGTTGTTTAATATTTCCTTGTCATCACGTTAAGGCTTGTTAAAGCAAATTAGATGCTGTGCAATAGCTCAAAGTCCATTATTTCCAATCTTTTTTGGCTTACTGTGTCTTTCGATTTGGTCCCCGTCATGGTGCTACAGTGTATTTGAGAACTGTCGATATTCAAAGTAATATTTGTGATTGACACGCCGATTAAGGGCCAATCAGCTTATTTTCCTTACAATTTTAGCCTGAGAACGCAGTCTTGAGTGTCTTAGGTCGTCGCCTCTGAGCGTCCTCTGTCAAAAACACGTGTTCGATTGCAAGATTTCAAGAGTGTCCTTTGCAGAAGTTCCCTTCTAATTCCTTCTTCCTCGCGTAACCATTGTGTTCTCACACGCCTTCATTTTCATTTCTCTACTTCTTTAACACCTGCCACACAGGTTAATTTTTAAAAGCACTTCATTAAGTTAACAGATAGGTTAGCATTTGCTTAGAACTGATAAAGGTAATGTATTTTAGTAAGTAAAGCATCTGGGGAGAAATGAATGGCACCAATGTGGCCCAGATTCGAATATTTATTTATTTATTTAGTAACTGATGAACCAAGGTAAAGCTGGTAAGATGTTAATCGGTCGGTCAATAAACGCTTCGGACTTCTCGTCGAAATAAATTATCAATGCTCGCAGCCATGTAGATATTTTTGTATGGGATCAAATCTTCATGGCCAATTTCTTTGAATGTGTTGTTAAGGTCGATTCAGGCGGCAAGGTTTTTCCTTACGACTATCGTGCACGACTAGCATACGTCATGACTTTCGACCATCCAAACGCCCACACTTTTCATTTACTACATCCTCATGTGTCGTGACGTATGCCATAGTCGCGCACGATAGTCGTAAACAAAAACTGTACTGTCTAACTCGGACTTAAAGATTTCAAACAAAACAAAAGACAAATCACGTTAGTGTATTAACGATAATTTTTCACAACTGACTTACATCATCTGTCACATCACATCACATCTATGTCCAATAAATAGACATAGATTGTCGGTTAATCCAATTATAATGAAATTATTATTCATTTCTGATTGGCTAAAGTCCCAAGCATAATTCATCATAACCAGCTATTGTCGACCAAATTTAAAAGAATTTTGCGATGTGTGAAAAGTGGCGTCAAGTGTGCAGCAAAATTGCCAGATTATTGAATAATTAAAAGAAAAGACCTTGGGACGAGCATGAGTTGTTTTAGCAGTGAGTGCAACATGACGGAGCATGTCACTCGTTTCACGAGAATCGAAAGAAATAGGCGAGCTATTCGCTAAGAAACATAGCAGGAACAGCAAGAAGTCAACTCAACGGACGACACATCTGTTATTTCAGAACTGAACAACTATTTACCTCTTAAACGTGCCGATAATTATGCACTATCGAAGATAAACTTAACATCGATGGAACTAGTAAGCATGTTTTTGGAGGTAAGCATCTAGGAGAGTATCATCCGCCTCTCCCAACGGCCTCAGTGGATAACACTCTCTTCGATCTCCACAATTATTCAAATGATACTCAGCGTAATTCAATATTTGACTTACTTTTTATGCAGCTTACGCCATCGCCGGTGTATCCGCTCAGACAAGTACACTGAAATGAGCCTGGAACATCAATACATGAGGCAAATCTAGAACACCTATGGCTACCATCCATGCATTCCTTGATATCTGTCCAAGTTAATCATATTATTGTTGTATACTAATTTATCAATTTATCTATTGACCTGAATTATTTTTTAATCTATTTATCTCATGTAAAGTGAAGTTAAATTACCTACCAGAGCAATTGAAACCGTCTCCCGTGTATCCAATCGGACAATTGCATTGAAATGAGCCAGGAACATCGACACATGATAAATTTGCTGAACAGTTATGGCTGCCATCTAAACATTCCTTGATATCTGCAACAGGAGATCAAACCATGTTAAGAAACGGCCAAGGACCTTGCACTCTGATCATGTTGCGCACTGGACTTGTGGTCTAATTAACACCTTCTTTGCAATTATTTTAAGACGCTAACTCGAGGTACTATGATTTGGATCAAATTTTCCACACAGGCCTTCACCTCATTTTATAGTGTTTGTTTATTTAAGTGGAATGGAGGAAATGAGGTATTATATATTTTTATTATATACATACTGAGAAATACTCACCAAAAAGCTATTTCGTAAATTTTCGTACGCAAATTAGTTCTAGCTGCTTTACACGAGATTTGTTGGCAAGGTTTTGTAATGTAAACTTGTCGAGTTAAAAAAATTCGGCCTTATACAAAGAAATGTAACCTTACAACGTGTAAATTGGCTGCCATCGAAGACTATAGTGTCTAATAACCAGCCGTTATAAAACAGTGGTGGTCTAGGTGGGTGATTTGGTTATTTTGTTTGGGAAGAATCATTTTCCAGGCATAATCTACTGTGATCAAGAGCCATTGTGGCTCTTGACTGTGATTGACGATGATTGCTAATGTTTGGGTGTACATATAAGACTACTAACTCGATGTAAGATTTGTTTCACTCTAAAATCTTTCTCTAAAATCACTTAGCATTTCCCTCAAAAGTCACATGAATGTGCCGTAACGTTAACCGATTTTTGGATTGCCAGTTTATTGTTTGATTTAACTTAATTATAAATTTACTAATGGGAGCTTCGCTTTTAGCCCTGGATGAATCAATATATTATAAATTGATCGGTTAATCAGTTATTTTCACCTATAAGAAGCTTAAACCCCTTCATTGGCACCTCAAATGCACAATTTATTACATACGAACTACATTATCGACATACCTAAATTGCATTTTTCTCCGTAATAACCTCGAGGACAGATGCATCTGAATCCTTGATCTCCGTACCCTGTTTGACAGGTTGCATTGTTGGGACAAGGGCCTCTTAGACAGGAATCCTTAAAAAATAAATTGCTCCTTCATATTTTCACTTTTATTTCTACACCACTTTAAGTTAATCTTTCAATTTGCAAACTGTCCTTATTATTATCCTTATGATTATCCTTATCCTTATCATTATTTTTATTATTATCATTATCAATTATATGAAGGACGTTTGCAGTTATATACACGACTTTTGCAGTTGCAAAAACAAAGCCTGAGAAAAATTTAGGCTTGTACGGAATTCGATTCGAGCTCTGCGATACCGGTGCAGCGCTCTACCAATTAAACGAACAAGTCAACTGGGAGCAGGTCATTGAATTGGTTCGTTATAAACCCGTGAAAAGATGACGATGAAGTTGTGAATATATGAAAAACAAACATTATTATGAGAAGATGGAATCATAATCTCATTTTATTTCGATGTATTTCCCGTTTCTTATCAGCAGTGTATAAAAGACTTGTTATATGTTTCGCGCGGCCCTTCCAACTATTACCATTAGCCTGTACTAGTGACATCCCTTTGACGCTTAGTTGAAAATTTTTCCTACCACCTCCCAAGTCTCCGACCTGCCACCGTCTACATCTTCTTATAGCTTTATCTTCTTTAGTTTGTCGTAAGTATTTGCTAATTTGTGGCGGATTTTTGTCCCCACCTCTCCTGAAGAGATGTTAATTAGTTAATTTTATCATTGGTTTCAATTAAAAACGTTACGCTTGTGGCCATTTATCCCAAACAGAGAGAGATTCTTGCTCGGGTCATCTCTTCAACAAACCAGTGCGCCACCATGCGGAGCTCTCGATCGTTTTCGTTAATTCGGTTTGGGAAGACTTGCAATAAAATGATATATGTGAACTGCGGAGTGAAGAATTATGTGAAGGAAGATCATCGCAGTGATATACGCACCGTTTGCAGGCTTTCTCTTCGCAACTGCAAAAGTTGCGTATATAACAGTACTGCGATGATCTTCCTTCATATAATTCAAAAATCGACAAAATCGACACGAGACCCTAGTCTCCCATCACCTTTCTAAGGATATGTGCTGAGCCAAGAAGTGAAGTCTGTGGCATTCTTCTTTTCCTCTCTGGATTTTTCAACTGCCCTAATGGCCTATCAACGTTAAGTAGAAGCCGTAGTTAAAATAAACAACTTTTACTTCTTAAAATAAGATTTACCTCATTTATTGCAACGTATTTAAAGCCTATTCTTGCCTCAAGTTCTCCATCTGACCCTTGCGAATGGTGCACGTCACTTAGTTCGCACACAAATAAACCATCACCAGATTCACCATAATTATAGGACCGACAGTTTGGCTCCAGGAAGCAGTTTAATTCGCAAACGTCAATATCAACCCTATGGTAAATTCTGATAACGTGGTTAATAAGTGCTTTATGGTGCATTTGATCTTTAAATTCGATTTTCCTACAGTCATCTAGGAGGAAGAGAAAATAGAATAAGTCAACAAATATCAACTTCGAAAGGAGGGAGGGGGTGGAGAGAAGGGAGGACCTTCAGAAGAAGCTACCATTAAAAGGTTGCTCATGAGTTAAGTGGACCACGGTGAATATTTCACATAAAGTACAAATAAATAATTGCAACAAAAAATTAATTTTGCAAAACCAAGCCTACGGCATGTGAGGGCTCCTTGATTGTTTAAAAAAGAATGAATAAAATGTTAAATGTAATAATTATTATCATCTTAAATCCCTACCACGCGGGAAGACTGTTATCAAGGAATTCATTAAAGGAACCTTCAATGTCCTAAACCTTTTTTTCACCTCTGGAAAATTATCCTTATTAAACGTATTCATACCCAGGGGGAGGGGGAGCTTCAAGATTCCCTCCCTCGCCTAAATGTTGAAAAACTTGCCATCTGTCCAAGCTATGAGCGCCAACCTGAGCGAATTGTTTTTCGCTAAATATCATTTTGAGTCGTTGTGACGTGTAGGTCAACATTGATGTTATTGTGGTTACAATGACAATTAATATTTTTCCTGAAAAATTAGATTTACACAAATTTGCTCGGGACAAATATTGTGCAAAAAGGAAACTGAAAAGTTGTTCAATGAGCGTAATATAAAGGGTGACCGCTATCTACAGGCCCGTTATATACGGGTTTGACTGTACCGCATTTGCATCCCAGTTTACAAGGTGTTTTAAATTCAGTGGCAAAAGCGGTATTTACCATCTTTGCCCTTGATTGAACCGTAGTTTGTACTTTTTATACACTGAGTAAATTTTGGTGTAAATCAAATTTTTCGCGCAATAAATGGCCTTACTGACACTCTCTGCAAGGGAATTGATCATAGGAAACGTTTTGGGAAAAGTGGAAGAAGCTCGATAACAATTAGGATTAGCTCGTTATATCAATGTAGTATTCACAATCATATTTTTTTTTTCCTGTGGAGTTATTTGGAGGAGCTAACGCTATCTAAGAAATCAGTAACTTTGCATCCTTTTTGGCATTCATTTTGTTTTCACATTTAGTATATTGAAGTGAAATTTTTGTAGTAGAAACTTGAAATAAATGAACCTATGGGAGTATAATCTTAAGACAAATAGTGTTCGTTTTTGTTAAATGTTAAAGAGTAACTCACCTTCTTTCGATAAACCAAAGGCGCTTATCCAGATGACAAACATAAAATACATTGATCGCAACTGGCTATAAATGTACAGCGACAACTTTTAGTAATTTTGTAAAGTTCTCAGGGGCGCTGTGTGTTGCAGTAAAGCAGCTGCCTTTAACAGTCAAGGCATAAATTGTTTCCTTAACTTGAAAGCTGAGAGTAGTATCATGCTGCGTAGCCATAGAAATACCTGCAAAATATGGCCAACTAATCACAACCTCTCACAATCACGATCACGTTTACTTTGTTTAAGCAAAGTTCCTTCATTGAATTTAGCATCAATCAAATTTATTTGAAAACCAGACGAAAAAAAAATGGTTTTTCAGCAAATACCATGTCGCAAGAAACAGCTGATTACCGTGGCAACCAAATATAAGCTTATTTTTATTAATATAGGAAATTGTTTACATTTGTTGATGTCATAGATCCACTAATTCTCATTACCATACGAGTTAAAGCGTGAAAGGCTTTTCCAGTGCATTCACAAATTCAATTCAAAATGGAAACGATTAAAGGCTGTTGTTTTGTCCTAAGCAAACCATATTGATAATCATACAAAGGAAGGGGAAATCGAAGGCATCAAAAACTGCGAAATTATATTGGATGACGAAATGGGGAATGAGCTAGTGAATTACATTAAGTTGCGTCTTTGGAAGATAATTGTCTCTAAAATAATTCTTATATCAGGCTCAAATGGCCAGGAATCAGATTTTTGATATTTCTGTGCTTTTAAAATATGCAAAGATAGTTGATGAGGCAAAAAAGCAAGCCGTTTCAAAGAAGAAACAATCGGAATGTTAGTACGTAAAAAAAGGAAAAGGAATCGATTGAAATGCAGATACAATAGAGAAAGGAGAAAAGGGAGGGGGGGAGGAAGAGGGAGGAAGAGGTCAAAAAGAGGTAGATCCCCCTTCCCTCTCGCCCTGGTCTGCGGATTCTTCTCCGATAAAGACAAGACTTGCTATGCCCCCAAACCTCCCCCTCTCAAATGAAAAAAAAAAAAAAAGAAAATGAATAGATGGACAGATGGATGAATGGATGAATGTATAAATGAATAAGTGAACAGTACATTTTTATTGCGCCTTACTCTTTAAAGGAAGATATTGGTCTAGTTGCAATAAAGGCTTTATTACAAAGTATCTATCACTTTATTACTATTATTATTATTATTATTATTATTATTATTATTATTAACATTTATTTTATTACAGCACTGAACAACTTAAATTAATGCGACAAGAGAAACAACAGAAAAAGGCCAAAACCGATGTTACAGCATTTACAGCAACCTAAGCCTAAAAATGTTTTACAGATTTGACTATTAACTGCAAAAGAAAACAAAAAAAACGTCACAAAAACATCAAGAGTCTGTTCTATTAAAAGGAGACTCTTTAATGTATCTATTACATAATAACAACTTAACTATTGAAACAAAACTGAAAATCAACAATATGCAATAACAACAAAATTACAATACCTATACGATTATGATAATAATTAAGTAAACAATTACATTGAGTTCATGAGCTCTTTCCTTTTTTGAAACATTAGATGGACATATTTTGTTATGATTGGAGAGGTACCATGATCGTTATCTAACAGGAGTAGAATCCAGGAGTCATTTCAAAGGTAGGCTGAGTTTGATCGTCCGGGTGACCGTAGTCCTGAATAGGACAGTAACTGTCAACAACAACAGTCCTATTCAGGACTACGTTTACCCGGACCATCAAACTCAACCTATAGAGAGTTCCATCGCATTGTTTTAGGCTGGCAAAGTGAGCACCATATTTTGAGTTATGAAAAATCAAAGGTCCTGTCTAAGCTCGTCACATTCTTTTTAATACATTAAAAAGTGTTTTCTTGTACAAACTAATCATTTCCTTTTATCTATTGGTATGGATACACCTTCATTTTCATATTTTCCTGTTTGTATGCCTATAAGGAGTGAACTCTTCATCGTAGCTTCATATAAAAGAATAGAATAGAATAATTTATTTCGTGTCGAAGACGTGGGAAGTGTCTGCACAATCTTCCGAGCCAGAGGCTCAAGGTAAAAACATTTGACAAACTAAAAATATAAAACAAGATAAAATGTGAATTATGCATAAACAAATTCAAAAACCTAACTATCAAATACATCGTAATTTTGGGAATTTTTTTTTAAGAAACTATTTTTTGAAAAAAAAGAAACTAAAAAAGCTATGTACATGCATTAAAAATAATTTAAAATGGACTAATCGTAATTATAAACTGATTAAAATATTACGAAATATATACCTAAACTAGCCTAAGAGTATGTAAAAAAGTAAAAATAGATAAAATTATATACGGTTCATACACTGGCACCCTGTTAAATTAACATTATTCAGGCGAGTGCTCGAGGATTTGGTGACAGTTGGTAGTTGATTCCAGATGTGGGCAATCATGTATAAATAGGAGTTGTGAATGACACGGATGTTATATGGAGGCTGCACCACATTTAAGCCACTGTATCGTAAATTATATTTAGTTAACCGAGGTGTAAAATAAATTATCCTTAAAAAAATAGAATAAGCGATCGCAGGGTATGTCTTTGCTCAAGCGTGTCCATAGCAGCCATTACTAGGCAAAAGTCATAGGTAGCCGAATTACCTAAATTCAGTAATGTCTTGATCGCATAATGATTGGTACGTTCGATGTTACTTTTTAAGGCTTTAGATAAGGCCAGAAGTAGTGGGCAACAGTATTCTAAATGCGGTAAAACGTAGGCTTTATAAAGGGAAATCATAGGGTCCAAAGGAACTAAGCGCTTAATCCTTCGTAGTGCGGCTATCTTAGCATACGCTTTTTTAGCATGATTGCCACGTGGGGCTTGAAAGACAAATCCCGATTCAATGTAACGCCAACAATCTCAGTTTTATGCGTTTGTAAATATTTTGGATTAAGACAAAATTATTTGATTATTATTGGATTATGTCCCTGTTTTTGTACGGAATAGGCCATTTTATAGTTGTGGATGGAAGCGAGGCTGAGGGTGACCTTGTTTAGATACAAACCTCCCTGCTTTATTATGTAAATCAAGTTATTGTCATGCTAACTAGTATTTTTCAAAAACAATTTCCATAACAAAGCAAAAAAGGTTTGTATCAAAACAAGGTCACCCTCAGCCTCGCTTCTATCCATACCTGTAAAATGGCCTATTGAGATTTGGGCAGCGGTATATCAAGGTAAATAACTTGATCGCATTGATAACTTTTTTAAGCGAGCGTTTAGATTCGGATACAACAACAACCTGTATGCAACAGCTGAAGTTATCAGAAATCGAGACTGTAAGCTATGGAACACTATCACGGATACTCCTTCCCATCCCCTTTACCAACTATTACCCCCTAAGAAACAGAGACTTTGCGAAACAGAGGACATGATTTTATTTTACCTGCTGTTAAAACAAAACGCTTTAAGAGATTTTTTATTAATAGGTGTCTTTTTAGTTTTATTTAACTGTACTTGATCCTAAATAGATTGCATTGTCATGTATGTAAAGCCACACGTATGTTGTGACTACCCAACTATGAATGAATAAAGACTCTTATTACTATAAAATTATATCAATTTCGATTGACTTACAACCAATAAAAAGATTGTATGGGTACTGAGGTTTCCCCAGTGTCATTGCCTGAGTTTTAGTAGCGTTTACTTGCAGGTAATTCGCAGTGAACCAGAGGGTTAATCTCTCTGTCTTCATTCAGTGTAGATTCAAGTGTGCAGGGGCTCTCATGGGCTATATATTGCGTTGTGTAATCAGCATACAGACGTTGGGAGGAAGATCCAGCTGAGTAATTGACATCATTCACGAAGATATTTAAAAAAAAGCGGACCTAGGAGGCTCCCATAAGGCACTCCAAAGCGAAGAGGCAGCCAGTCTGACACCTTCCCGTTAGATTATGCTCCTTGAAAGCGGCCTGATAGATATGACTGAATTAGCTTATGGCCGAATCGTGAACGCCGTAAGCTTCCAGTTTTGCCAGTAAAAATTAAGGCAAATCGAGTCAAACGCTTTGGATAGGTCAATAGCGACCACCACCACATCCTTTTTATTGTCAAGCGCCTGGCGCCAATCATGAGTTAGCTTTAATAAAGCGGAAATGGCAAGAATGCTCACGCAGGAACCCTAACATGTTATCCGAAAAGAAGACTGGTGTAAATACGCTGAATAATTGATCAAATTTTAGTTTCTCAAACACCTTGGGTATAACTGATATAACACTAATAGAGCGATAATTCTTCTTAGATGGACATGTTTTGTCGTCTTTCTTATGAACAGGGATGACGTTACTAAGTTTCCATTAACATGGCCACTCGCCTACATCAATACAATAATTAAAAAGTTTATTCATAGGTCCGGCTATGACTGGAGCAGCAATTTTAAGCAGCTTGGGTGATATTCCGTCGGGACCAGCTTACTTCCTAATGTTTAGATTAGAGAGGATTTCAGAAACTGGGGCCACACTTGCGTTCGTCTTAATATTGACAACACTGGCGTGGCTACAAAGTTCATCCCCGGACAAGGTTAGGACAGGTTATTAATTGTAGGAGACGTAAAACTTCATTAAGAGACGCACTGGTGAATGGAGCATTTCTGCCATTTTTAAGTATACAAATTGAACTTGTATCGACACTGGACTTGCTATTTGGTATAAGGAGTGGTCTCAGGTTTTTGCAGAATAAACCGGGCGAGCATCTAGAAGAAACAGGCGCTGCATCAAAACAGAAATCTTTAACTGACTGTCTTTTCAGAGCTGTGACGTTGTTTCGCCGACATCGGTAGTTATTCCACTTTTCATTCGTAGGAATTCGGCGGAATTTCTTATACAAAAGATTCCTGACGCGCATTTGTTTTTGAATAGCAGGGTTGATCCACGGCAGGTGATTGCTTTTGAGGTTGACGCGTTTGCAATTTAGTGGAGCATAATGATTAATAACTTGCTTGAGAGGGCTTTTCCAGTGGCACCAAATATCATTCACACCATCGAAGGCGTAAGCAGCGTCCCATAGGATATCACTTAAGGACGAAAGAAAAGCTGGCTCATCAGTTTTTCATTGATCGATATTCAATGCTTCTCACGTTCGGCTTAGGCAGTCCTTGTTTCCTAACAATGTAAATTAAATCATGGTCGCTAATACCAAGACGAAGAGTCGATCCCGCTCGAAACAAAGCGCTCTGGGTGTGAAACAAGGATAACATCCAACAAAGTTTTCGCTGAAGCTGTAACTCTTGTAGGAACTGATATTGTGTTAGTCAGGCAAAATTGGTCGCAAAAATTCGAAAGACTATAAATAGATCCAGCAGACGACTCATTTTCCGTTAGCATGTCAATATTAAAGTCTCCACGAAACATGACTTCCTTACGCGTTGTGTACATTTTTTCAGCCTCTAAAACAAACGGGATAAGAAGTCTGAAATCTTGCATTTGCCGGGTGAGCGATAGCACGCACATATTAAAAACCAGGCGTTTCCACAGCCTTTAACGTCTAAACGTATTGTTTCGACACCATCTGGGATTGTTCGAGTTTTGCTCGGCGAAGGGCTGTAATAGACCGTCGTATGCAGACCAGCATACCGCCGCCACCTTTCTTCCGATCTCTACGGATAATGCGATCTTCTGAATGAGCAAATAAAGAGCTGTTAACAGAACCATCGGTCTTACTTTCTGCTACGAAAAATATGTCTAATCGGCATGCGATGAGCAAGTCTATAACCTCCTCCGCCTTGCCGTAGTTGCCGTTTAAATTTAAGTGGCCAATTTTCAAATTTCTCCTGTAATGTGAATTGATGTTCGAAGCAAACCAATCAATCGGCGATAGATCAGATTAATCGCTTGAGTCTTTTGGCGAGGTATTTTTTTCTTGGGCAATTTCATGCAAATGGTCACCGTCAGAATCGCATTGTGAAGATTCGTAAAGTGGATCCGTTCTCACCATATATTTGAAAGCATGATTCTTAGGACAGAGAAGCAAATGGTAGCTCATTAAGATCAAACGAAATGACATGCAGGCAGATAGGGCATTTCCAATCATTGGTACGATTCTCTGGATTAACTTGAAGTCCTCGTTCATAATGCTAATTCTATGTGCTGGATTTCAAACTTTCTCTTTTAATTGGTAATCATTCTTAATTTCTTTGTTGGTAAACTTTTCTCTTGAGTTATCTGATGTGTTGCTTTTTTGGCCTTGATAGATGGATGGATGGATAGATGGATCGGTAGACTGATGGATGGATGGATGGATGGGTGGATGGATGGATGGATGGATGGATGGATATATGGATAGATAGATGAACTGATAAATGAATGAATGGGTGGATGGAAAGTGGGATCGAGATGACATTAACGAAGCAAGCGGGATGGAAGAAGAAAAAGGCGGATGAAAGGGGGATTGGCCATGGGAAATCCTAATTAAGCCGCAAGAAGATCTTATAAAAGATACAACAAGGGAATAAAACTTAGTTGAGAATATTTTAAGAAATGTCAGTAATAAGATATCTTGGTGCCAAAACATGTCTATTACAATTGCATAAAATGGGCTCCGCTACGCCTTGTAAGACGCAGAAACTGTTTACGAGGATCGATTAAGAGATAACTGATCGGTATTATGGCAAAGCTTTTAAGATAAAATTAGTTGCTCCCAGTTTACAATCGTTCACCATTAAACAATATAGAAGAAAATAGTCCCGCCAGCCTTAACTTTAAGCTAAGCAAATGGCAGTTCCGAGTACATGAAAATAAATAAATAAATAAATAAACAAAATAAGTATTAACCTGGATAACGCTTCATTTATAATAAGGTTTCTTCCAAGCTTGGCCTTTCTTGTTTAAAACCAACGTTTTTTCTCCTAAAAAAAAAAAAAAATTCCGCGACCGCTTGTTGAGTTTTGGAATCCTTTTTGGCTGTCTATGAAAAACGCCAGAATGACTAATCATCTCTGGTGGCAACATGCACATTTACTGGTATCTGAGTCAGCGAGATAGTGGAGTATAATCTTGATCGCACGTTGGGCTGGGTCCAACTCTGTGACGAAATTATTAAAAATATATCCGTTCTCATTCATTCACTTTGTACTCGAGTACAGCTAAAGGCGATTTCAAAAGTCTCCACTAAGGAGAGCGTTTGTGTTTACGGTCACCGTTCTCACTGTATGCATGTAGGCAGCTGGCCAAACCGGAGAGGAAGCAAAACGTGTGAGGGGCCTTAGGCCCCTTTCATACGTATCCGGATATTAAAAAACAAACAAACAAACAAACACTTTTTCTCTAAGCTTTTTGTCCATGTTTAAATAGGTGTCTTCGGCCGCCATAAATGTGGGCCTTCAAATGTGGTTCTTCTCGCTCTTCCTAACAAAAAGCGACATACTTCAGCAACAAAGTACACAAGATAATCGATAAAGCGAGGCTATTGAAATCATGATAATAATTAAGTAAACAATTACATTGAGTTCATGAGCTCTTTCCTTTTTTGAAACATTAGATGGACATATTTTGTTATGATTGGAGAGGTACCATGATCGTTATCTAACAGGAGTAGAATCCAGGAGTCATTTCAAAGGTAGGCTGAGTTTGATCGTCCAGGTGACCGTAGTCCTGAATAGGACATTAACTGTCAACAACAACAGTCCTATTCAGGACTACGTTTACCCGGACCATCAAACTCAACCTATAGAAAGTTCCATCGCGTTGTTTTAGGCTGGCAAAGTGAGCACCATTTTTTGAGTTATGAAAAATCAAAGGTCCTCTCTAAGCTCGTCACATTCTTTTTAATACATTAAGAAGTGTTTTCTTTTACAAACTAATCATTTCCTTTTATCTATTGGTATGGATGCACCTTCATTTTCATATTTTCCTGTTTGTATGCCTATAAGGAGTGAACTCTTTATCGTAGCTTCATATAAAAGAATAGAATAAAAAAATTTATTTCATGTCGAAGACGTGGGAAGTGTCTGCACAATCTCCCGAGCTAGAGGCTCAAGGTAAAAACATTTGACAGACTAAAAATATAAAACAAGATAAAATGTGAATCATGCATAAACAAATTCAAAAACCTAACTATCAAATACATCGTAATTCTGGGAATTTTTTTTTAAGAAACTATTTTTGAAAAAAAAAGAAACTAAAAAAGCTATGTACATGCATTAAAAATAATTTAAAATGGACTAATCGTAATAATAAACTGATTAAAATATTACGAAATATATACATAAACTAGCCTAAGAGTATGTAAAAAAGTAAAAATAGATAAAATTATATACGGTTCATACACTGGCACCCTGTTAAATTAACATTATTCAGGCGAGTGCTCGAGGATTTGGTGACAGTTGGTAGTTGATTCCAGATGTGGGCAATCATGTATAAATAGGAGTTGTGAATGACACGGATGTTATATGGAGGCTGCACAACATTTAAGCCACTGTATCGTAAATTGCATTTAGTTAACCGAGGTGTAAAATAAATTATCCTTAAAAAAATAGAATAAGCGATTGCAGGGTATGTCTTTGCTCAAGCGTGTCCATATCAGCCATTGCTAGGCAAAAGTCATAGGTAGCCGTATTACCTAAATTCAGTAATGTCTTGATCGCATAATGATTGGTACGTTCGATGTTACTTTTTAAGGCTTTAGATAAGGCCAGAAGTAGTGGGCAACAGTATTCTAAATGCGGTAAAACGTAGGCTTTATAAAGGGAAATCATAGGGTCCAAAGGAACTAAGCGCTTAATCCTTCGTAGTGCGGCTATCTTAGCATACGCTTTTTTTAGCATGATTGCCACGTGGGGCTTGAAAGACAAATCCCGATTCAATGTAACGCCAACAATCTCAGTTTTATGCGTTTGTAAATATTTTGGATTAAGACAAAATTATTTGATTATTATTGGATTATGTCCCTGTTTTTGTACGGAATAGGCCATTTTATAGTTGTGGATGGAAGCGAGGCTGAGGGTGACCTTGTTTAGATACAAACCTCCCTGCTTTATTATGTAAATCAAGTTATTGTCATGCTAACTAGTATTTTTCAAAAACAATTTCCATAACAAAGCAAAAAAGGTTTGTATCAAAACAAGGTCACCCTCAGCCTCGCTTCTATCCATACCTGTAAAATGGCCTATTGAGATTTGGGCAGCGGTATATCAAGGTAAATAACTTGATCGCATTGATAACTTTTTTAAGCGAGCGTTTAGATTCGGATACAACAACAACCTGTATGCAACAGCTGAAGTTATCAGAAATCGAGACTGTAAGCTATGGAACACTATCACGGATACTCCTTCCCATCCCCTTTACCAACTATTACCCCCTAAGAAACAGAGACTTTGCGAAACAGAGGACATGATTTTATTTTACCTGCTGTTAAAACAAAACGCTTTAAGAGATTTTTTATTAATAGGTGTCTTTTTAATTTTATTTAACTGTACTTGATCCTAAATAGATTGCATTGTCATGTATGTAAAGCCACACGTATGTTGTGACTACCCAACTATGAATGAATAAAGACTCTTATTACTATAAAATTATATCAATTTCGATTGACTTACAACCAATAAAAAGATTGTATGGGTACTGAGGTTTCCCCAGTGTCATTGCCTGAGTTTTAGTAGCGTTTACTTGCAGGTAATTCGCAGTGAACCAGAGGGTTAATCTCTCTGTCTTCATTCAGTGTAGATTCAAGTGTGCAGGGGCTCTCATGGGCTATATATTGCGTTGTGTAATCAGCATACAGACGTTGGGAGGAAGATCCAGCTGAGTAATTGACATCATTCACGAAGATATTTAAAAAAAAGCGGACCTAGGAGGCTCCCATAAGGCACTCCAAAGCGAAGAGGCAGCCAGTCTGACACCTTCCCGTTAGATTATGCTCCTTGAAAGCGGCCTGATAGATATGACTGAATCAGCTTATGGCCGAATCGTGAACGCCGTAAGCTTCCAGTTTTGCCAGTAAAAATTAAGGCAAATCGAGTCAAACGCTTTGGATAGGTCAATAGCGACCACCACCACATCCTTTTTATTGTCAAGCGCCTGGCGCCAATCATGAGTTAGCTTTAATAAAGCGGAAATGGCAAGAATGCTCACGCAGGAACCCTAACATGTTATCCGAAAAGAAGACTGGTGTAAATACGCTGAATAATTGATCAAATTTTAGTTTCTCAAACACCTTGGGTATAACTGATATAACACTAATAGAGCGATAATTCTTCTTAGATGGACATGTTTTGTCGTCTTTCTTATGAACAGGGATGACGTTACTAAGTTTCCATTAACATGGCCACTCGCCTACATCAATACAATAATTAAAAAGTTTATTCATAGGTCCGGCTATGACTGGAGCAGCAATTTTAAGCAGCTTGGGTGATATTCCGTCGGGACCAGCTTACTTCCTAATGTTTAGATTAGAGAGGATTTCAGAAACTGGGGCCACACTTGCGTTCGTCTTAATATTGACAACACTGGCGTGGCTACAAAGTTCATCCCCGGACAAGGTTAGGACAGGTTATTAATTGTAGGAGACGTAAAACTTCATTAAGAGACGCACTGGTGAATGGAGCATTTCTGCCATTTTTAAGTATACAAATTGAACTTGTATCGACACTGGACTTGCTATTTGGTATAAGGAGTGGTCTCAGATTTTTGCAGAATAAACCGGGCGAGCATCTAGAAGAAACAGGCGCTGCATCAAAACAGAAATCTTTAACTGACTGTCTTTTCAGAGCTGTGACGTTGTTTCGCCGACATCGGTAGTTATTCCACTTTTCATTCGTAGGAATTCGGCGGAATTTCTTATACAAAAGATTCCTGACGCGCATTTGTTTTTGAATAGCA